TAACCATATTCGGCGTTAAATTCTTCATGAATGGCTTGCTGACCATATGCATCTGCCGTTAACAGTCTGTTAATTATCGATAGGAAGGTAGTCTAATGGTCCGGCCGTCTTATGCAGTGCAAGCACTGTACATGCATTTTCAATTATGATGTTATTGTATTTTGCCTATTGTTTAGCGGCATAGGCACGCAAAGCACACATCATCCTTGTCATTGGTTTCTACATGATCGCCTCGCTGGTCATATGCACCACCCGCTTACGGTTTGTTCATTATCTGTACGAGGATTTCCGATGCTTCGGCTGCCGCGCAGCGTTACGCCCACGGCTGTGGTCGCGTCGCACGTAAGTCTCAACCTCATTGACGTCATCGCCCTGTACAAAGTCTGTGGACACCCGACGCATGGCGATGCCCATGCAAAGCATTCACGGAGTAAAATGCTTGTACAGCCTTGGTGAAATGTGAGGTGTGTTTTGTGGCACTAGATGGGCGCAAGGTGAAGCTAAGCAATTCTTCCTCTTTTTAATTTTCGTATATTGTTCCTCGTAAGACTTAGCTATGTGTGCCCACATCCAGAACGAGTTCCATCGTTCCGCCTCTCGCGGAATTGTAACTGGTGCTCTGCGGTGTGGGCGAGTGCCTGTTATGTTGTGTGTGCTGGGCATTGCATTACCTTACGATTTCCCTTCAAGGACCTGGAGGGTTCTGAAATCACGCCAATACTTGCAGCAGACAGGTACGACAGGTATAGATGAAGCGTGGCCTGCTGCCTGATGTTCAGCGAAATATCCGTGACGTCATATTGTCAGCCGATGACTCACGGCATTCAGCCGGTCCTAAAGAGCCCGTGAAAACCCACGACCATTGACGTCACACTATCAGTCGTATAGCAGTGACGTCCTTAGCTGATACCATGTAGTCTTCAGTGAGCCCAAAAACGCCGGTGGAACTCATGACCAGTGACGTTACACACTCAGGCGATTTAGTAGCTTTCATTTAGCACGCCAATGCTTGCAGTATACACGTACAAAGGTAAACATGAAGCATGGCCTGCTGCGACCAATATTTAGTCGCATATCAGTCACGTCACGCCATCCGATGACACTTCACGGAACATGACATACCGCGTCCGTGGGGCCTAGGTGCATTCGTATCAAATGATAATTAGTGACATCACACATTCAGGTGATTCAGTCAAACCTTTATTCGGCACAAAAATGCCTGCAACAGACAGGTACGAAAGATAAAGATGGAATGAGGCCTGTTGCGCCTGATGTTTAATCGAGTACCAGTGGCGGCATATCGTCAGGTGATGCCTACGGCATTCATTTGACCCGGAAGAGCCCTAAAACCTCGCGACCAGTGACTCATTTACGCAGTCGAATACCGGCGACACATCGCCAGCAAATGCCTTATGGCCTTTCGTCGGCCCAAAAGACTCCCGATCAATGCAAAATCACTTTCAGTGACGTCACAATGTCAGCTGACGCCTCACAGCATTTCCCCCGTACGACAGTACACGAATCCTGCAGCTGGCGTAGCTGTTCCCTCCGCCGGCCGTACAGGTACCCAAGTAAAAAAGAGCCGGTGGCCCTTACACTGCTAACTTAACCAGTTGATCTTACATTTCCACTGCTCAGGGTACAGCAGGCAACTGATGCTTTGGAAAATGTGGTGTTATGCTGTACCCTGTTGGTGGATGCTAAGCATCCTTCATTGTAAGAATGTCCTGATATGAAGGTTTGTGCAGTCCTTTATGGCTGGGTGCTTTTTAGCAATGAAGATCTTTTTGAGACATCGCAGGATTTGCATCGCATTTTTATCGTCAATTTGTTTTGTTTCTTTTGCATAAGCTGTTGTTATTTGTGCTGTGATTTACAAGGCTGTGGTACTGTAACACTGCATGTATAAAGTGGGTGACAAGCATTCAGTGATAATATGTTTGCCACAGTTGTGCCTGATCATTAACCCTGAAAGAATGCTTCCAAAAAACCTTAGCTGCTGCAGTTTTTACTTGTAGGATGGTACCTGACCATGTGCTATGTGTGACAGGAGCAACCATCATGAAGTGCATTAGAAATCATGTTAAGTTAACCAAAGATTAAGCTGTCATGCTGAATTATTTGGTTTAGGAATATACCACAATTAACTTGTATTTGTATCATAGAAAATAAGTACCTGATACCCCAAAAATTCCTGAAATGATATGTTGTTTACTGTGTTTCCTTGAACAAGTAGAGATGATTTTTCTAAAAGCACTTCAACCTGAAGAAGCTGCAGCTGAAACACAAATTTTGTGCTCTGCTGCTTCAGTTAACACAGACCTGCCATTTCCCATCTTGAGGTAATAGATTTGTGGAATTATGGTCACTCAAGGGAGAAGATTAATGCCCCAAAAAAAATTATTGGGGAGAGATGTGAGGTTCATTGTTTGAGCTAAATTGAGAAATGATATTTTGGCAGTCCCAATCCCTTCAGATTATTGTAATGTTTGTGAATGGTATGAACCAAACATATATTTTACTCATTAAATTAGTTTTGCAGAGATGTTCCTCATTAAAGGAAATAATTATCGGGAAAGGAGAGCAATTCAACAGGTTATACTGAACATGGTCTGGCCATTTCCATAACTGAAAAATGTAGAAATGTGAATTATGTACACTTTCAAATAAAGAGATATGGACCCATGACATCATGCTATGCACAGCATCACATCCAACAAATGATGGATGTATAGCATGACAGTTAGGGAATTGGTGTTGTCGTGCCTGGTCATGTGATACTCATGGTCACTGGACAATGTCAGGATGTTTGATAGCATTTTGATATATTGTATTAAATCTCAGCAATTAAGTGTTTTAAGCCATAATTAAGTTGACATTTTACTTCATGCTTAAGAAATTGAACTTGCAAGCTGAAGTGATAGCACATTTTGAGGCTCACTTGAAAGCCTTAAAAATATAGCTTGGATTGTGTTTACACTTACAACAGAATGAGCAGCATGAACACAGATTTTTGCATGCCTTCATTCTTGGTTTACCTTCTTTGTTTTTGCTACATTCTGTTGAAACTTTTGCTGTAGAGTTCCACTGATCTTCATTTCCATCAAAAATGTCTACTGAATGCATGCCTCACAAGTCTTTTATACAAAATACCAATTAAGCTGTTCTTCATATGGGAGCACCAACATTATATTTCCAGTCACACTTCAGGCCATTCTTGCATACATCCAACTAGGCCATACACCCTATGCTTCCAGAGGTGGGGCTCCAGACAAGTCGGCACACTGCTGGATAGGCCTCACTGTATTGGGGCGCTCCCTTGTGTTGCCCATTTACTGAGCGCCAGCAGCGACCAGCCGCCATAGCCAATCCAGCCTGAGACAGTTCTTCAGATGCCCAGAAGGTCATCTTGCATCCAATGCTCGCGTGTGGAGGGCGGACACGCTCCGCCCATTCGCAGCACTGCGCTCTCCTCACATTTCCACGTGGTCTGGAGAAAGCCCACAATATTGAAATTGCAGATAACAACGTTATGCCAGCAGCAAAAGCACATGGTTGCCAGATTTTTCTGCCTCGAAAATGGCCTTCGCCTGCTGCTCCACGACGCCCGGCGGGTCCGTGCGCTCACCATTCTCTGGCACAGCTAGGGAGTCAGTAGCTTTCTCTTGTACTTCATCTGCTGCTGCTGGTTTCTGATCTGCCCGATTTTGAGCCTCTTTTGCTAATTTTACGAACTCGGTTGGGCCGAGCTTGTCTTCCGTCGTCGAACGGACGACCGGGCGCGACAGCCCAGAAGCAGTTCTTCTCAGAACCGGTTGGGTTCTTTCCAATCAGATGCATGCACGTGCCATTGGCAGACAGCCAATCACTGCCTCCCTGGTGAACTCCATTCCCAGCATGCCATGCTCCTTGACGTTCTGGACCGGCGCTGCCCAAAGTCAGCCCCCTGAGCTGTCTTTAGTAGCAAGTCCTGTTATGCCATCGTTGTAGCCCGCCAACGGTTGCCGTCTTGGCACTCCGTTATCATCGGGTCTGTCCATCATGCTCACACACTCCCGCGTGTAGACGGGTCCTCCCTCCCCAGTCGAGCGCTGGCACCAGACGCTTACAGACCGGGAGCTCTCGCGACCGCTCGCCCCTGGCATTCGTGTCCATCATGGTCACGCACTCCCGAGTGTAGACAGGCCCTCCCTCCCCACTCGGGCACCGGCACCAGCGGCTTACGCACCGGGAGCTCCCGCGACCGCTGGCCCCTGGCAGTCGTGTCCGATACACGAGCCCTCCTGAGCCGCTCGTGCGCTCTGGCTGTTCGTGGCAGCCGATGTAGGTGCCCAGTGGGCGCGTGTTTAACACGCATCGCCTCAGAACACTGATACCACCAGCTGTAAGGCTCCTACAAAGGGATACAATTCAGCGTTCTAGCTCGTCTTGCTTATTGTTGTACTACAGATTCCCGATTAGCCACTATGTGTTGACTGAGGAGTCGTGAACTGATGCCCATAGAATCAACAGGAAAATGTGTTTGTAAGTGCCATGAGACATCACAATACCAGTGTCTGATCATGCACCAAATCATGCAGTGATAGGATGTTTTCCTACATATGGGTCAACATTGATTATTTACAAGAACAGCTGTCTTCAGGTGTGACCTGCTCATTGTGACCAAGTTCACACAAAATCCTTTTGTGTTTGCTTATGATATGAGGCACTCTTGATAAATTTTTTTCTGTGTACCATGCAAGCCATAATAGCCATTACAGTTGTGTGTCCTAAAGTACTAACAGTCGACAAAAGAGAAGTACATTAGTTCACAAAGCAGAGGCCATTGGGATGCTTCTCCGTAACTGGATGCAGTCTAACGTGAAGCATGCTCTGCACCAGAAGGTTAGCTTCGCGCCGTTATTTATATTGTTAAGGTCCACAATGTTTTGTGTTTAACAGGTCCCTGCCATTGTTGTTTAGTAGTGTTTATATTGCTGCTAACAGTTAGGTCTTTTCAGAATGCAGTAGCGCAAGCCAAACTGCCTGAGGTAAATTACCTGCAGTGCCTTCTGGAGGACTTCAGCACAGGTCCACAATGAAGCTGACCATTCAGTGCAAATTCCTTTTTGTGGTAGGTAAGTACCCTCCATCGCCTGAGATAAGCAAGAAGTCGGTAGTTGCGGTTGTGCAAAATCAGACCGACAAAAGCTAGCGGGGGAAGTACAGACCACCCCGGATGATGGACTAGCATATATACTGAAGTCGCTAAGGCCCCGTGTTTTTGTGCTGGTTAAGACGTTGTCAGCGAAGTATGCGTCGTCTCAGCCCGGTTGACCCCACTCACTGCGCTGCCTCGGCGCCGCTGGCCACTCGCCCCATCACACGCCTCGCCGTGCTGTGTGCGGGCCCGGCGCTGACGCCGACGCGGTCGCGTCTGGCGGCAGGCTGGGCGGCGCGGCCGGCAGCCGGCGCCGTGGCCGAGGGCGTGCTCTGCGCCTACCACGCCCAGTCGGCCGGCCCCACCTACTACGACCAGTACGAGCAGGACGGCGCGCCGCTCGGCAAGATCGTCGACGACGGCGCGCACATGCGCTGCTTCTCGGACGCCAGCTACTGCTTCTCGTTGTGGCACGACGTGGCGGGCGGCGACAACACGAGCCAGCGTGCCTTCATCGTGCAGGGTCAGTCAGCGCTCGGCAGGTCACCGTTGCCGTCACAGGCTCGTGAGCGACGAGCTGAAATAGGACCCCACAGGGAGCGTTTCTCTCCTCTACTCGACACAACATGTGTTTTGCGTGAATGCTACTTCATAACCGTTCGAGCTGTTATCCCCTGTGCCAGCTGTCACCAAGCACACATTTGTAGCACAAATGGTGCCACTGACTGGTCGGTCGTATGGAGCTGCACTGGCATTGCGAGAGCATCGGCAGCGGTGTGCGAACATGACAGGCGGACGGCTGCTCACACGGAGCCGTCTGACCATGCGGCGCCGTGCTGGCCTCTGCCCGGCAGGCTGCATAAACATCGCGCAGCCGCAGGCGCAGTGCGACCAGCCCAGCTGCACGGCGCACGGCGAGAGCTCACGCGGCAACAACACCCATTTCTGCTGCTGCCACGGCAACCTGTGCAACGTCCAGGTCACCTACGTGCCGCTGCCGGCGGTGGCGGCTACGCCCGACACGAGCGCCGCGCCACGTACGTCACGCTGCCGGCTCGGGGCTCTCAGCGGCTATCACTCGGCACTCCCTCAGAACACGCCCGGCAGGGGACACAGGGACCTCTCACGTCTGCCGGCTCGGGGCTCTCAGCGGCTGTCACTCGGCACTCCCTCAGAGCACGCCCGGCAGGGGGACACAGGGACCTCTCACGTCTGCCGGCCCGGGGCTCTCAGCGGCTGTCACTCGGCACTCCCTCAGAGCACGCCCGGCAGGGGGACACAGGGACCTCTCACGTCTGCCGGCCCGGGGCTCTCAGCGGCTGTCACATGGCACTCCTCTAGCACACCCGACAGGGGACACAGGGACCTCTCATCTGCCGACCCGGCCTTTCAGCGGCTGTCACATGGCACTCCCTTAGGTCACACCCACGGGGGACACAGGGACCTCTCACGTCTGCCGACCCGGCCTCAGCGGCTGTCACATGGCACTCCCTAGGCACACCCCGACAGGGGACACAGGGACCTCTCACGTCTGCCGGCCCTCCTCAGCGGCTGTCACTGGCACTCCCTTAGGTCACACCCGACAGGAGGACACAGGGGTCTCTCATGTCTGCCGGCCCGGCCTCTCAGCGGCTGTCACATGGCACTCCCTCAAGTCACACCCGACAGAGGGACCCGAGACCTGGAGGCGGACCATACTGCTGCGTTGTGGGCCATGTGGTTACTCAAATCTCCCTCTCATCTGTGACTGATACTCGTTCCATCGCTCTGCCACTCGAGCATGTGTTCCCATAACGTCTGGTTTTTGCCGCATCGTAAGTCCCACACCACCTCGCTGTTCTATGAGTTGTATCCCTCCCACTGCCCCTACATCAGCACCTGTGTCATTCATCGCTCTATTTTTTTAAGGGGGACCTGTGGTCATACCACCTTCCCCCTTTTGTGCACCTAGTCTGCCTTCCCCCTTTGTTCTACTTGAAGCCATGCATCCTGGAATTCGGGGCCAAACCAGTTCACTTCGTTTTAGACTCTTGGGCCGCACCACCGCCTCCTATACTGTCACCCTCAGTTCTAACACCTATCTCTTTAGACGTCTACGGTCTTATCTCCCTATGCTGTTCTGGGATCGTTTCGGACCGATGCCCGTACCTGAACCACGCCCTACTCGTAATGCTGGGTCGATATGTCCGCTCCATTCCATTAGTATCCAGTCTGTGACGTGGTGAACCCCGTCCGATGACGCCCGCTGTATGTCGCCAGAGCTGGACACGCCCAGCACAGTGGCGGTGGTGTGCGGCTCCCTGGTGTGCGTGCTGCTGGTGCTGGGCGCCGTGCTGTGGCGCTGCCGCGGCTGGTACCGCCGCTCGCCGCACCCGCCGCCGGCCGCCGCCGAGCCCGCCCCCTTCACGCCCACCGTGGACCTGGCCGAGCTGCAGCTGGTCGACGTGATCGGTGAGGGGGGCGCCACGGGCGGGGGACCGCGGCCGCCGCTGCCGCTGCCCAGCGGGCTCCGGCATTGGCCTTGTGGGATTCTCCGTGCGCTTGAGAGGTGTTTGCATACATCAACTTTCCCTGAGCTTTCCCGGGTGTGCAAGTTTTGCGAGTCAGCCAGTTCTGTGCAACCGTCCAGATTATACATCACGTCGCATTTCGTTGTCTTATAAATGCACTCGTAAATCATGTTGGATTTCTGTTGAAATATCCCTGAGACATCGTTGATACCACGTGGCAACAGGCCGTAGCCTTCCTTCAGATCAATATCTAAGGAAGGGTTGGGTGCATGTGCGTGTCTGTCCGTTCACGCCGCTGGCGTGCGATTCGCGGTTCCTAAAGGCTTGTCGGCGCCCCCAGGCCGCGGTCGCTACGGCTCCGTACGCGAAGGCCTGCTGTACGGCGAGGACGTGGCCGTCAAGATCTTCCCGGCCTGGTACCGGCACTACTTCATGTCGGAGCGCGACATCTACTCGCTGCCCTGGATGGACCACCCGAGCCTGGCGCACCTGTACGGCGCCGACGAGCGCGTGACCGAGGCGGGCACCGAGTACCTGCTGGTGCTGTCGCACGTGCCGCAGGGCACCGTGCACGACTTTCTCTGCCAGAACACGCTGCAGTTCCAGCAGATGTGCCGCATGGCCATGACGGCCGTCAGCGGGCTGGCGCACCTGCACACGCCCATCGAGCGCAGAGGTGAGACTGGGGCCTCTTGTGGCGCCTCACCGCACACGCCCATCGAGCGCAGAGGTGAGACTGGGGCCTCTTGTGGCGCCTCAACCTGCACACGAGAGCCCATCGAGCGCAGAGGTGAGGGACGGGGGCCCTCTTGTGGCGCCTCGCAACCCGGCCAACAGCCCAGCGAGCGCAGAGGGGAGACTGGGGGCCTCTTGTGGCGGCCTCACCTGCAAACGCCCATCGAGCCGCAGAGGTTGAGACTGGGGCCCTTGTGGCGCCTCACCTGCAACACGCCCATCGAGCGCAGAGGTGAGACTGGGGCCTCTTGTGGCGCCTCAAACCTGCACAACGCCCATCGAGTCGCAGAGGTGAGACTGGGGCCTCTTGTGGCGCCTTCACCTGCACACGCCCATCGAGCGCAGAGGTTGAGACTGGGGCCGTCTTGTGGCGGTCCTCAACGTGCACACGCCCATCGAGCGCAGAGGTGAGACTGGGGCTCGTGGCGCACTCACCTGCACACGCCCATCGAGCGCAGAGGTGAGACTGGGGCCTCTTGTGGCGCCTCACCTGCACACGCCCATCGAGCGCAGAGGTGAGACTGGGGTCTCGTACAGCGCCTCACCTGCACACGCCATCGAGCGCAGAGGTGAGACTGGGGCCTCTTGTGCGCCTCACCTGCACACGCCCATCGAGCGCAGAGGTGAGACTGGGGCCTCTTGTGTCGCCTCACCTGCACACGCCCATCGAGCGCAGAGGTGAGACTGGGGCCTCTTGTGTCCTCACCTGCACACGCCCATCGAGCGCAGAGGTGAGACTGGGGCTCGTGCGCCTCACCTGCACACGCCCATCGAGCGCAGAGGTGAGACTGGGGTCTTGTGCGCCTCACCTGCACACGCCCATCGAGCGCGGAGGTGAGACTGGGGCCTCTTGTGTCGCCTCACCTGCACACGCCCATCGAGCGCAGAGGTGAGACTGGGGCCTCTTGTGTCGCCTCACCTGCACACGCCCATCGAGCGCAGAGGTGAGACTGGGGTCTCTTGTGTCGCCTCACCTGCACACGCCCATCGAGCGCAGAGGTGAGACTGGGGTCTCGTACAGCGCGCTCACCTGCACACGCCCATCGAGCGCAGAGGTGAGACTGGGGCTCGTGCGCGCTCACCTGCACACGCCATCGAGCGCAGAGGTGAGACTGGGGCCTCTTGTCGCCTCACCTGCACACGCCCATCGAGCGCAGAGGTGAGACTGGGGTCTCGTACAGCGCGCTCACCTGCACACGCCCATCGAGCGCAGAGGTGAGACTGGGGCTCTTGTGCGCCTCACCTGCACACGCCCATCGAGCGCAGAGGTGAGACTGGGGTCTCGCAGTGCGCTCACCTGCACACGCCCATCGAGCGCAGAGGTGAGACTGGGGTCTCTTGGCGCCACCTGCACACGCCCATCGAGCGCAGAGGTGAGACTGGGGCTCTCTGTGCGCCTCACCTGCACACGCCCATCGAGCGCAGAGGTGAGACTGGGGTCTCGTACAGCGCGCTCACCTGCACACGCCCATCGAGCGCAGAGGTGAGACTGGGGTCTCGTACAGCGCGCTCACCTGCACACGCCATCGAGCGCAGAGGTGAGACTGGGGCTCGTGTCGCCTCACCTGCACACGCCCATCGAGCGCAGAGGTGAGACTGGGGTCTCGTACAGCGCGCTCACCTGCACACGCCCATCGAGCGCAGAGGTGAGACTGGGGTCTCGTACAGCCGCTCACCTGCACACGCCCATCGAGCGCAGAGGTGAGACTGGGGTCTCGTACAGCGCGCTCACCTGCACACGCCCATCGAGCGCAGAGGTGAGACTGGGGTCTCGTACAGCGCGCTCACCTGCACACGCCATCGAGCGCAGAGGTGAGACTGGGGTCTCGTACAGCGCGCTCACCTGCACACGCCATCGAGCGCAGAGGTGAGACTGGGGTCTCGTACAGCGCCTCACCTGCACACGCCCATCGAGCGCAGAGGTGAGACTGGGGCCTCTTGTGCGCCTCACCTGCACACGCCCATCGAGCGCAGAGGTGAGACTGGGGTCTCGTTCAGCGCGCTCACCTGCACGCCCATCGAGCGCAGAGGTGAGACTGGGGCCTCTTGTGTCGCCTCACCTGCACACGCCCATCGAGCGCAGAGGTGAGACTGGGGTCTCGTACAGCGCGCTCACCTGCACACGCCCATCGAGCGCAGAGGTGAGACTGGGGTCTCGTACAGCGCGCTCACCTGCACACGCCCATCGAGCGCAGAGGTGAGACTGGGGTCTCGTGGCGCCTCACCTGCACGTGCCCATCGAGCGCGGGTGAGACTGGGGCTCGTGTCGCCTCACCTGCACACGCCCATCGAGCGCAGAGGTGAGACTGGGGCCTCTTGTGGCGCCTCACCTGCACACGCCCATCGAGCGCAGAGGTGAGACTGGGCCTCTTGTGGCGCCTCACCTGCACACGCCCATCAAGCGCAGAGGTGAGACTGGGGCTCTTTGGCGCCTCACCTGCACACGCCATCGAGCGCAGAGGTGAGACTGGGGCTCTTGTGGCGCCTCACCTGCACACGCCCATCGAGCGCAGAGGTGAGACTGGGGTCTCGTACAGCGCGCTCACCTGCACACGCCATCGAGCGCAGAGGTGGACTGGGGTCTCGTACAGCGCGCTCACCTGCACACGCCCATCGAGCGCAGAGGTGAGACTGGGCCTCTTGTGCGCCTCACCTGCACACGCCCATCGAGCGCAGAGGTGAGACTGGGGCCTCTTGTGGCGCCTCACCTGCACACGCCATCGAGCGCAGAGGTGAGACTGGAGCCTCTTGTGTCGCCTTCACCTGCACACGCCCATCGAGCGCAGAGGTGAGACTGGGGTCTCGTACAGCGCGCTCACCTGCACACGCCCATCGAGCGCAGAGGTGAGACTGGGGCCTTCTTGTGTCGCCTTCACTCACACCTGCACACGCCCATCGAGCGCAGAGGTGAGACTGGGGCTCTGTGTCGCCTTCACCTGCACACGCCCATCGAGCGCAGAGGTGAGACTGGAGCCTCTTGTGTCGCCTCACCTGCACACGCCCATCGAGCGCAGAGGTGAGACTGGGGTCTCGTACAGCGCGCTCACCTGCACACGCCCATCGACCGCAGAGGTGAGACTGGGGTCTCGTACAGCGCGCTCACCTGCACGTGCACATCGAGCGCAGAGGTGAGACTGGGGCCTCTTGTCGCCTCACCTGCACACGCCCATCGAGCGCAGAGGTGAGACTGGGGTCTCGTACAGCGCGCTCACCTGCACACGCCCATCGAGCGCAGAGGTGAGACTGGGGCCTCTTGTGTCGCCTTCACCTGCACACGCCCATCGAGCGCAGAGGTGAGACTGGGGCCTCTTGTCGCCTCACACCTGCACACGCCATCGAGCGCAGAGGTGAGACTGGGGCCTCTTGTGGCGCCTCACCTGCACACGCCATCGAGCGCAGAGGTGAGACTGGGGCCTCTTGTTGCGCCTTCACCTGCACACGCCCATCGTGCGCAGAGGTGAGACTGGGGTCTCGTACAGCGCGCTCACCTGCACACGCCCATCGAGCGCAGAGGTGAGACTGGGGTCTCGTGCAGCGCGCTCACCTGCACACGTGCACATCGAGCGCAGAGGTGAGACTGGGGCCTCTTGTGTGTCGCCTTCACCTGCACACGCCCATCGAGCGCAGAGGTGAGACTGGGGTCTCGTACAGCGCCTCACCTGCACACGCCCATCGAGCGCAGAGGTGAGACTGGGGTCTCGTACAGCGCGCTCACCTGCACACGCCATCGAGCGCAGAGGTGAGACTGGGGTCTCGTACAGCGCGCTCACCTGCACACGCCACCGAGCGCAGAGGTTGAGACTGGGGTCTCGTACAGCGCGCTCACCTGCACACGCCCATCGAGCGCAGAGGTGAGACTGGGGCCTCTACAGCGCGCTCACCTGCACACGCCCATCGAGCGCAGAGGTGAGACTGGGGTCTGTACAGCGCACTCACCTGCACACGCCCATCGAGCGCAGAGGTGAGACTGGGGCTCTTGTGGCGCCTCACCTGCACACGCCCATCGAGCGCAGAGGTGAGACTGGGGTCTCGTTCAGCGCGCTCACCTGCACGTGCACATCGAGCGCAGGGTGTGAGACTGGGGGCCCTTGTGTCGCCTCACCTGCACACGCCCATCGAGCGCAGAGGTGAGACTGGGGTCTCGTACAGCGCGCTCACCTGCACCGCCCATCGAGCGCAGAGGTGAGACTGGGGTCTTGTGCGCGCTCACCTGCACACGCCCATCGAGCGCAGAGGTGAGACTGGGGTCTCGTACAGCGCCTCACCTGCACGCCATCGAGCGCAGGGTGTGAGACTGGGGCCTCTTGTGTCGCCTCACCTGCACACGCCCATCGAGCGCAGAGGTGAGACTGGGGTCTCGTACAGCGCGCTCACCTGCACACGCCATCGAGCGCGAGGTGTGAGACTGGGGCTCTTGTCGCCTCACCTGCACACGCCCACGAGCGCAGAGGTGAGACCGGGGTCTCGTACAGCGCGCTCACCTGCACACGCCACCGAGCGCGGGTGTGAGACTGGGGCCTCTTTGCGCTCACCTGCACACGCCCATCGAGCGCAGAGGTGAGACTGGGGTCTCGTACAGCGCACTCACCTGCACACGCCCATCGAGCGCGGGTGTGACTGGGGCCTCTTGTGCGCCTCACCTGCACACGCCCATCGAGCGCAGAGGTGAGACTGGGGTCTCGTACAGCGCACTCACCTGCACACGCCCATCGAGCGCAGAGGTGAGACTGGGGTCTCGTACAGCGCGCTCACCTGCACGCCACCGAGCGCGGGTGAACTGGGGCCCTTGTGTCGCCTCACCTGCACACCCCATCGAGCGCAGAGGTGAGACTGGGGTCTCGTACAGCGCGCTCACCTGCACACGCCCATCGAGCAGAGGTGAGACTGGGGTCTCGTCAGCGCGCTCACCTGCACACGCCACCGAGCGCGGGTGTGAGACTGGGGCCTCTTGTGTCGCCTCACCTGCACACGCCCATCAACGCGGGTGTGAGGCTGGGGCCTCTCACAGCGCGCTCACCTGCACGTACGCATCGAGGGGAGAGGTGAGACTGACTCGGCATCGGAGCGCCGAGGTGATCACTTCTAGGTGCCAATCGAAGACAGGAGATAACTGTCACCAGGCACGCTCGCCAGCGCGCTGTGCGCATGCGCATATGGTACAGATATCTCCCCCCCCCCCCACACACCCATAGGGGCAGGGATGAGCGTTCTCGCCTTCGCACTTCCCAGCACCGTAACAATGCGTCTTTGCCGTGTTGTTGTGTTGCTTGCCACCTGGCTCGGTGTACTGTTATTTTCTTGTCAGCACTATTACGGCGCACGTCACCCATGGGGTCATTGGCGGCGCATTGACCTAGTGACTAAGACATTGATGACAGTCTGCTGACAT